TCATGCGGAAGCTTACAATTGCAATCAAGACGGTGATAAATTAGATGACAAATAAAGCGATACTAAAACATAATATTATTAATATGAAAACTAATTTAAAAGAAAAAAATATTATAATTGTTGAGAGATTAAATCTCCCCATAAACAAAATTCGCTAAACGACTACATTATGGATTCTATTGTGTTATGCTATGAGAATAGGGATCTTCAATTTATAGATCTCCAAAATATTCCTCTAAGGAAAGAATAAACCAAATATAGAAGAAAATTATATTTTCCTTTTAGAAAAAGTTCAAGCATTTATGTTAATACTTTGACTTTTCTTTAAGAAAAAAAAATAAACTTACAATTAAGGAAAGAAAATCAGGGCAAAACCCTAACAAACACCCCAGTTGAGGGAAAAGCATAAAATAAGACCCAAAGGAATACCAAATACATAGTAGCATACTATGTTAATGTAAGCTACATATGTTTGCCTTCCTGCTCCAATAGCCACACCTAAAATCATTTATCTTGTATTAAAATTTGATCGATCAGTTAAAATAATTATACTTGCTAGTTAAATATATAAACGTTATTTCTCTAAATGTACTTTTAAATGGTGTCCCTAAAGACATGATTTATATGTATCATTTAGTTACATGATTTATCCTTCAATTTATTGATCTTTAATTTTGGTCATTTTAATAAGCTGGTCAGTAATTCTTGTCTTTTAAATGGGCTGATCTTTAATTTTTACCTCTTGAAGTCAAAATAAATGCCTAACAAGGATTACATTCTTTAAGGGCGTGAAACATAATTTATAGGATAATATAATGCAAAATTATAAGTTTATAGGATAGCATGGTGCAAAACCACCTTATTTGAATGAATAAAATTATCGCGCGTTTTATAAAATAATTAAAAAAATCAAAGGAAAGAATTGAGAAAGACGAGACTTTTTTTTTTAAAAAAAAACCAAAGATTTAGTAATTAATTTTGATTCTCTAAAAAAAACACTATAAGTATTTTGAGACAAAGAAAATATACCTGAAAGGGTAGGTTGAAGACCGTTAAGCATAATTGTAGTTCCTAAAAGTGGGGTAAGTTCAGACACGACTTGCTGAACCTCAAAATTGTTTGTAAACAAAGGTAGATATCGATTTCAAGCAAAAAAAAGTGCTATTGTAATTATCACTCCAAGTAAAAGTGAAGTAATTGACAGTTTGACACCACTAGGACTGAAAATTTTGCTGCTCTGGGGTGCCCAGCTCCTAGTTCATTTGACACCCTAACACTACACCAAAAAGAACAAATTCATTTTTTAGGTTTATTACTCTATTCAGAATCGGGTTGATATCTCTTAGATAGTTATATAACTAATAGTTATTATCTCAAAATGTGACCATTCTTCTTGATTCTATTTTTCTTAAACGACTAAGAAAGTGACTTTAAGAGATAATAACGATTAGTTGAATGACAATATGAGAAATCAACTGATTTAGAATAATAATCTTTTGGCCAAATTTATGTGACACATTTCACTTTTGAAGAGTCAAATTGACTAACCTTCGAAGTTAAATTGGATTAGATCAAATCAGTACACTACTAGAGACAAAATAAATTACCATCGCGAATCAATGAGAAATTTATGCTATAAAATATGATTTTTCCGTCCTAACAAACTAGCTAATTGAAAAAATGCTTGATGGAAAATAGATTTCCGTTGAAATATTGAGAAATTTTCTTATTTTTCTTGTGAAAATATTACTATTTTTTCTTTTTTCACTGATTCAATAAAAATATCTATGAAAATAGCCACTAAATATTTTTCAATGAAAAAATAAAAAATTCTTAGTAGTGATATTCTAAAATTAAAATTTATATATTTAAAAACCAAAACAAAAATATTACTTAAATTATAATTCTTCTCATATCAACTTGATAAAAAGATATTGATCAAATTTTACGTAATTTGAATATTAAAAAAAAGAAAAATATCACACAGACCAACCTTTTTGCTGCATTAAAACCAATGCACAACATGAACATCCACCCAAGTAAGCTGGTGCTGCAAAACATCGAATAAAAAAGTAAGCATAGTAAAAAGAGTTAATATTTTCTTTTAATGGATTGAGAAATAATTTTTAGTGTTTGCTGCCTGAAAACGACATATATTTTAAATATTTTTTTTCATATAAACACATTTTAATCTAAGATAGTAAGATTTATAAATTAAAGTGAAAATACATGTCACCAGTAATACATAAATATGCCATTTAACTTGATCTTTGCTCACATTTATGCCCTTCAACTTTGCGTGTGCACAAAGAGATACTTAAACTTGTATAAAGTCGAACAAATAGACACACATATCATATGTGGCATCCTACGTGACAATGTGAGTTATACGGGGTATCCTAAGTGTATTATGTCACATAGGACTCATGTGTCTACTTGTTCAACTTTATAAAAGTTTAAGTGTCTACTTGTACACACCCAAAGTTGAAGGGCATAAATATGAAATGAGGTCAAGTTAAAGGGCACAATTATGTATTATTCGTATGTATCACACTTCTTGGGGTGCAATTCTTTCATGAATCCTGCTAATGCGACATGCTTTGTAGAATAAACCATAAATTATCCTTTTTAAGTTTTATTTACAAAAGCAAATTTCTCACTATATCTACCATAGCCATTAATATTAGGCATTGTAGCGTCTAAGCTTGCATTTTGCATTTAAATTTGCATTTAAACATGCGATATAAAGTCTTAAATTCAAACCAGCGTAAACTCACCATATGGAGACTGCGTCAACAACAATTTTTGCGTCCTTTACGTATCCAGCGGAGAGAATCAAAGCCATGAAGTACCAATACTCTAAGCTACACAATTTACAAATTTAAAAGAATTATTAGTTACTAATTTGTGCCAAGTAATTGCATGTCAATTTCTGATATAATAATTAAAGAGGAAATTAAAGATAGTGACAATTCTCTTTTAATTTGATCTCATTTCACATTTATGTTCTTCAACTTTGGGTGTGCCCAAGTAGACACTTAAATTTGTATGAAGTTGAACAATTAGTAGATACATGAGTCCTACATGACATAATACACGTAGGACACCACATATGACTCAATTTCCATGAAAGATGTGTGTGTATATTTGTTCAACTCTATACAAGTTTATGCGTCTACTTGTGCACACCCAAAGTTGGAGGGCATAAATGTGAACTACTGCCAAATCAAAGGGCATATTGATGTATTATGCCTTTTTTCGAAATTAATTTAATTTTTTTTTATCTAAATTAGATTAGCTTAATTTTATATTTTAAAATTTATATAGTTGACTCTCGAAAAATATGGAATGTGACAAATATTTTGGGACGAGGTGAGTACACATAAAAAAAGGCATAATACATCACTAATATACCCTTAAACTTGGATTCAGCTGTCATTAATGTCCTCCAACTTTGGATGTGCACAAGTAGACACTTAAACTTTTATAAAAATGAACAAGTAGGCACATGTATCCTACGTGGCTAATACACGTAGGACACAAAATTGACATATAGGATGTCATGTAGCACTAATGTGTCTATTTGTTCAATTTTATACAAGTTCGTTTGGTTGGGAACAAGTTATCCCAAGATTAGTTATTCTGGATTAGCTATCCTGGGATAACTTATCTCATCATGTATATGGGATAACTTATTCCATCACTATGATATAAATGGTGGGATAAGTTATCCCAAACATGACAACCAAACAAGATACAAGAAATTTATCCCATCACTATTTATTTTAACACCTCACACCAAACGACCCCTAAGTGTCTACTTGTGCACACCAAAAGTTAAAGGTCATAATTGTCAACTGAAACCAAGTTAAGGGTTATGTATTATACCTAAAAAAAATACGTAAAGACATAATATATAAACATGTTTTTTAAGAGACTTACCATATCATTACACCAGACGCAAGTGACAACCTAACAAATCCCCAAATATTTTCAAATGCCTTGGAAGTAAATCCAGACCAAGCTTCACCACAAGTCCCACACAAAATGTAAACAAATTGAGCAAGTGCCATGAACCACCATGAGACATTTAGCACTACAGCTCCAGCCACTAGCCCCAGATCCATTTTCATCATGAAAAACCAGCTCAAAAGGGTATGGTCAACTAGCGCGACTGTGGCTATAATGACCATAACCATCATCTTGCTTTGGGCTTGAAGGAATTTTTGAATAGGGAAGTTCACAGCATAGGCAAATAGTTGACGAATCATCCAAAGAGAAAATTTACTTGCCCATTTTGCTATGTCCATAGGCTGGCCAAGGAGTACCAGAATTTGATTGGCAAATAAGTAGAAAAATACTAAGGCCAATACTGTTGTGTTGAGTATTATCAAGGACCTTTGCAAATAAACACCTAACATGTCTACTTGTTTAGCTCCATATGCTTGTCCACAAAGTGTTTCTAAAGCACTTCCCATTCCTAACTGTTAGAAAAAGATCAAATATTTTTCGTAAGATTTTCAAATTAATGATATATATTCCCAATTAAACATCAAACTGTACTTAATTTATCCATCTTTATTTAAAATAAAAACAGAGAAGGTTTCTCTGGAATAGACATTTCATTTTTCACAAAAACTACCTACATACATACGTGACAAACATTTATATTATATTTATGATACATAGCTATAGTTTTAAAAATTTATGAAACCTAAACATTTTGTGTTTTTATAGCAAATACACAATAGTACAACGCACGTTGATACATCTCTTTTCGCATATTCAATACTCGCTATAGCGATAGAGCTAAGATTTTCACTAAGGAATAACAGAAAATTATAATTATGTTGTTAATTAGGATCAAACACACAACCTTAAGGAAATTTCGCAATACCTTAATTAACCATTGCACTCAATCTTCAACATATGTTAAGAGGTGTTAACACTTGATATAAAAAACCAAACTTTTACCTATCTATATAATATCTCCCTTGCTTCTATGTGTTTGACTTATTTTGACATGATATAGAGTTTAAGAAAGTAAATAAAACTTTTGAAATTTGTGGTCTAAAATTAAAGATATGTCAAATGTATCAAAATACTCTTTAATCTTGTTGTCTTAACATGCCGTATGATAAGTTGAAATTAAAGAGTTTCTAAAAAAATGAAAGGGGCATTTTTTTTTTTAAATGAACTAAAAATAAAAGTATGTCAAACAAATTGAAAAGAGGGAGTATAATTTTTCGACAAAGGTGTGTCACTTGACATAAGGGAGGACCTACGTGGGCGCCAGGGGTTCACCCGAACCCCCTCGACAAAAAATTACACTGTATATATAGGGTAGATTTTTTATATTTTGGTACGTATACTATTTTTTAACCAACAAATGGGAGAGATAGCCCAATGGTACTGGACTGCGCAACTTGGGCGTGGGTACTATCCCAAGTTTGCAGGTTCGATTCCTGAACTTTGCAAGTTCAATTCCTATACTTTGCACTCTAGTACACACATTTATATTTATTTTTTCGAATCCTCTGAGTGAAAATTCTAAATCCGCCACTGAGTCTTGACAGATACAAACAGAAACACTCCTTATGAGACAAACAGAATAAAAAAAAGAGTAAAATACATAAATTGAGACGGAGGAAGTAATAGATTACCAAAGCACCATAACAGAGTCCAGCAATAATAGAGTTTTCTACAGAAACAGCAGCAAGTCCTAGACGGAGGAAGTAATAGATTACCAAAGCACCATAACAGAGTCTAGCAATAATAAAGTTTTCTACAGAAACAGCAGCAAGTTGTAGGACTCCAAGATGGACAGCAAAGAGTTGAGTGATTTGAGCAATTGAGTATTGACATATGGACTCCAAGATGGCCAGCAAAGACTCCATAATTTCTTGGATTCAATATAGAATTCATGGAGGAAAGTTTTGACTCCATCAATTCTTTGTATATCATGCTCAGAATCAAAAGAAGGCAAATGGTGATAATCTTCCTCCATTTCTCTGAAAGGATGTGCTTAATTTTTGTTTTCAGAAATACTTTTTACTGTTTAATTGGAAGGAGAAAACCTTCTCCTATAACATGTTATAGGAGTGTCAAACTTTTCTTAACTTTGTCCTGGCTGTATTTATGCCTTCCAATTATCGGGGAGTATAACTAGACATTTAAATTTGTATAAAGTCAAATAAATAGATATACACGTTCTATATGACGTAGGATGCTTCATCTGACACACTTAAAAAACTTTTATCATTTTAAAGATAAGTGTCAAGAACACACCTATATACTATCCTTTTTTTTATTTTTAGTTTCATACCGAAAAGATTAGAAGTGTAAGTTTTATATCTAAACTCTCACTTATTAGTTGAGAAACACACATCACTGTGTGTGTAATACACTCACTTCTTTATTTGAACAAACCTTGCCACATGATATTCCACATGAATAATATATTTCAGCTTAACAAAATTAAATAAATCATTAATATTAATTAAAAGTTAAATATTAAAGTATTACTACCCAAAAAAAAAAGAAATTACTTTTTCAAAAATAAAATTTAATAAATTTTTCTTACCCCACTCCACCACCTCCTCCCCCCGCCTCTTTTTTTTTTTTTTTTTTTTTCCTTTATAAATATTTTAAAAAAATTTTTTTTTTTTTTTTAATTTCCTTTATAAATATTTTAAAAAAATTCATACTTCATCCCCCCTCCCCCAAAAAAAACCCCACACCTTCCCAAAAAATGATAATATTTTAATATTTTTAGAGTACTGCTCGCATGGAGCGGTGGGTTGGGTCATGACACACTCCCAATAGCTTATGTCTGATACTAAAAAGAGATAGTTTAAGTGTTTTGACACTTATCTCATTAATTTAATAGGACTTCAATTATTGGTAAAACTTCATTCATTTGAAAATATATGGTTCAAAATGAAATGTCAAAATCACACTTAAACTATTTTGTTGTTTTGAGTTTCATACCTAAATTATTGAGAGTGTGAGTTTCATACCTAAACTATCTCTTTGATCTTCCTTCTTATTAGTAGTATTAGCACTATTTTTGTTGTTTCTTGTTCTTCAATTTCAACTTTCACTGTTTTTTCCTTGCTCTGAGTTACTATACTTTCCCTATTAGTTGTGTATCAATCTCCGTTTCACATTGATGAGTTGTTATCATTGCTCTCATATTTATATCATCGTTTTTTTTTAAACTATTTGATACATTTTATTCTAGCGAGAGACCTATTTGAAATAACCTCTTATCTCAACAAAGTACGAATAAGATTTACGTTCATTCTATTTTTTTCATACCCCACTTATAGAATTTTTACTTAATATGTTATTGTTATCGACCTTTTGACCACCTTTAATAAAACAAAGGTTAATAAGAAATGCATTAAATGGATCCAATCTTGACGCATGAAGGCTATATATTAATGACGAAGGCTCTTACAAACAAAGAACATGTTTGGCATGCAGTACTGCTAATAACTAATTATTTTTATAAGCACTTTTTAAAAATAACATTTCAAAAAAAGTGTTTTTGAAAAAAAAAAGTAATTTGTGTTGGCTAATTCATTTGAAAAGTGTTTTTGCTAAGCAAATTGTGATTGGATAATCTTTTTAAAAAAAATACTTTTGTGAGTCAAATTACGAAAAAGGGAAAGTATCAATGCACTTTTAATATTTTGATTATTTTATAGAGATAATTTATTTTAATTATCTATTATAGAATTTTCAATTAAATTTTTATTGTTATTAAATGAAAATGTACATATTCAAATTTTCAATCAATATTGCACAAATGATAAAAAATAAATTAAACATAGATATAATATTAACATGACGATTTAAATATAATTAAAAATATCAAGCAAAATAAATTTAAAAATCATTTCACAAAATAAATCACTACATATAAAAAAATCACAACAAAAATAAACAAGTATAAGAGATATATTGGTAAATATGTATATATGACAAATATAATTTTGTCTTGAAATAAATAGTTTTATGTTTCTTCTTCTGCTTAATACTTTTTTAAAATAAAATCAAATTTAGCTTCTTCCAATAAGAGAAAAGTTATTTTTACTTCCGTTTAAACTTTAAAGACACTTTTACTGATTAGACAAACACCTTATTTTATAATTTTTCTCAAATAAGTATTTTTGGTCTACCAGAAACAATTTCAATCAACCTCAAAAATCCTTTCCAAGAATCTCATAACAATTCAAATCATGATAATTGATTGATCACCCCAAAATCAAGATTCTTTTATCAATTTGATCTTCAAATGCACGACCTTTTATGTTCTTTTCTATCCATTCAAATATTAATTGAGTATATTTTTCTCGTTTTGCTTTTAGTAATAATTTTTCTCAAAGTAATAAATACAAACTAGTTAGCATAAAAATCTAAATAAAAGCACATATACATATTTTAATATTAGAATTATTTAGACTAACATTTTTTTATTTATTGAAGAGAGATTAAAGAAAAAATATTTATTAAACAACGATTAACATTTGAAATAATTAAAGATATTAAATAAAAATATAATAATCCAAACATATATATTTTTTAATGGGTATATAAATAAAAAATGGGAAAATTAGCAAATTAGTCACAATCCCTAACATAATTATTAAAAAAATCTACACATTAAAATAATTATTAAAAATGTCAATATGTCAATATTTTAGAAAATAAATTGTATCCTAATATAATTAAAATTCTTTCCTTTTATTTCTCAAATTAGGCCACATTGGAACTTTTTTTTTACTCCGGTAAAAAAATTTAAAAACACACCCTATTCCCCATTTACCCTACTTTTTGTGATTTTGTTTTCATATTTGAAATTTAGTAGATCGTAGTAATCTATATTAGTATCCATACAACATATATTGTTTGATTTTTTATAAATTCACATTTAATAATTTTGAATTTTTCTTATAGTATTACTAATGCACAAGAATACAGATTGAAGTCATGAAACGCGTCAAATATCCAATAGGATTGTCGTAATAATTTATTTCCTCGAGGCCATTTTACTTGTTATATTATTTTAGGAAAATTTTTCAAAATGTCAATATTTTGACATTTAATAGGACCCCTCAGTCACACTTTCAATATTTATTTAAAATATCAATATTTTAGTTTGTTATGTATTTGATTTATGTATTTTATATTTGTTTGAGTTATAAGAATACAATTATTTAAAAACATAAGAGCCAGTATATTTTTGGGAGTAGTATTGAGCACCGAATTGTGGGAGCGTTCAAAGAACCCACAGCCCCCATAGAACCATGTAACCATCATGGGTAGAAGAGGTTCATACTTTTTAGATGAATCCTTTTCAAATTAGACTAGTGGATCCATTAGGCAGTTCAGGTTCTATACCTTTGGCCAGGTATAGGATGCTCTGGCACCATGAGGTTGATCTTTGTATCATCACTGTAGCTCTTATGTGATGGTTATCGGTTAGAGAAACTCCCACAACAGTTATTGTATTTTTATATACATCAGTTCATTTGTATTTCTACATACATCTCAGATTTATTGTATCTTTGCATACACACAGAGTTTATAGCATGTTTTTAAAAAGCTTTTCTTTATATTGCACTTGTTTAAATTGTTTTATATTGAAATGAGTCAGTCAGGTTGAGTTGAGTTGAGCCAGGTAAGTTATTGAAATGAGTCAGTCAGGTTGAGTTGAATTTACGTGGTAAGATTGATTTTCCAAGATACAAAAACTCTTTTGGAAATTTTGCTATTGAAGTTCCGGTTAAATTCATATAAGGTGAAACAGGAATGGAGTTACAAGACATTTTACTATTGCTCAAGGACGTAATACAAAAGACTAACACATCATTTGAGAAATCAAGTGATGACATATATACCCTAGCGTCCAAGTTTCATGAAGAAATACTAGAATGGGAAGAAAATGAACAAGTAGATGTGTGCATGGCATCGAGTTTGTGTGGATTCCCTATTAATGAAGCTGGTTTTAGTTGGGGAAAACCTTGCTTGACTAGTTTAGGATTGAGACGTAGTGATATGTTTTGGTTGTATGATACAGAATGTGGCACTGGAATTGTTGTTCAAGCAGATTTGAAGAAAGACTACATGGAAATGTTTGGATGTGATAAGGAATTTTTCATTCAATCAAAGATATGAAGATGTTTGGATGTGACAAAGACGTATCACTTTCACTTGTGAGTATTGATGTGGTGCCTAGTTCAGTCTCCTTAAGTTACGAGTATTGATGTGGTGCCTAGTTCAGTCTCCTTAAGTTACAAGGAGCATGATTGCTTGTGTTTACTCTTCTTCTTTTTTATCCATGTCCTTCCTTATAGATTACTTCACTCCCTGTTCATTTACCTGCATTTTAGACTTGTCCATCTCAAATTGTCTGTCCTGATTTTTAAAATGAGTTATCTCAAATTATTGTTATTTTAGAAGTTCAAGATAATATTAATTATTATTTTTATTTTATTCTTGGTAGTTATACTTGTTTTTTAAGGCTATAAAGTACAAACACCTCAATAAAATAAATATTTATTAGAAACATATTCTCTTTGTCCCATATTAGTTGATCACTTTCCATTTTGCAGGGTACTTAAAAAATCATAAATAAGAAGATAATTTTACTAATTCACCCCTTAATAAACTTATCGAAAATTTTACAAACAAATGTGAACACTTTAAAAAAGATTTAATTGCAAGGGTAATATAGAAAAAATTTAACTAATGCTTTCTTATTTAGTAAGGTGATCAATTAATATGAGATAGTTTTTTAGTATAAATTATAGTGATCAATTAATAGAAGATATAGAAAGTATTATATTTTCAGACATATATAAGGGTAATATAGTAAAAAAAAAACTTC